TAAGGAAAACCTTCTCCAAGTCAAATATAGTCACTTCTGTTGAATAAGTACATTAAAAAATATAAAATGGCAATAACACAATAGGAAATAGTGTATTTAAGAGCCAGCAGTAATTCGCCACAGAAAACAAGCTTGGTATTCCAAATGATCTTTCTCTCTCGGATAGGAATTATCTTACTCAGGTAAGAAGATGCCAAATAGCAGATCCCCACAGTGATCTGAGGGACCAAACAAATGAGGGTGGGGGAAAGCAGCGTGAACACTTGAAAATTAGCAGCTAACAGAAGTTCCTTTTACCACGGTGAAATGCATGGCACCAAATTACTTTTGTAGAGTGAATGACAGGACAGACTGCTTTTGAAGGAGTGGAAGAAATGAGTAGGCAACGCATGAGGCACCCCTTCCAAAAGGTAGAACACTTGGGTGTGGTTCTGGACAGGAACATTATGGCTGGTGGTTATTCCAGGACAGTGATTAGGCACTGAAGTTGCTAGACCATTACAAGGAAACAGAGTGGGAATCATGTTCAAACATCATGAACCACTGGAGATAAAAAGTTTGGCCTATGAGGAGGAAAAAATGTATAAAAGTTATAGATCTGGCCTAGAAATATGCCACAAATGTATACTTGAAGAAACAAAAATCTCTTATTCTTTCCCAGGTCATAAAAACCAGCATATGACACAAGTACATCTACCAATGTATTTAAAAGGCAGAGTTTCACTCTTGTTGCCCAGGCTGGAGTGTAAGGGGCCATCTCAGCTCACTGCAACCTCTGCCTCCCAGGTTAGATTCAAACCATTCTCCTGCCTCAGCCTCCTGAGTAGCTGGGATTACAGCCATGGGCCACTACGCCCGGCTAATTTTGTATTTTTAGTAGAGAAGGGGTTTCTTCGTGTTGGTCAGGCTGGTCTCAACCTCCCGACCTCAGATGATCAGCCCACCTTGGCCTCCCACAGTGCTGGGCCCGCCCGGCCTACCAATGTATTCTTAAACCAAAAAGTAGGTAATCCTAACTTATTGTGTGCCTACCATTAGACAGTTGACATTTTGTTGTTTTTTTTTTTTTTACTAATTCTAGCAACAACCCTTTAATATAAGCACAACTATCCCCATTTTATACATATATATATATATATATATATGAACTGAGAATCTGAAAATTTGCCCAAGGTCACAAGGTTCAATGTGAACCCAAAACACACACAATTATTTCCACCATACCAGGAATCCGCCTATGACTGGGGAATGTTGGTGTCTCCTCAATCTATGCAACACTAGGGATAAAAGAAAACAATGCTGAACATGTAATCTACAAAGAAGAAACAAATTAGGAATTAACTGGCGATAGTAACGGTGGCATGGGGGGGAAGAGGAAATAAACAATAGGGCAGATTGAGGGGCAGGACAATCAACGCTGTTTTCTAGTACATGGAAGGGGTAAAATGTAGTGAAGCCTCACAGGAGAATATCTTCCTTCTAGGGGATTCAGCTCCTGGAAAAGGAGAAGGGGAGTGGGGGATAGAAAGATTAAGAAATAAGAAGCAGGTTAGAGGTGTAAATAGATGTCCACAGACCAAGAGGCTCCAGAAACTCAGAGCAAGGCTCTGAGGCTTGCAGGGGAAATATAAGAGGGACGGAAGACGGAAAGCCAGTTTACTGGAGAGTTATCCTCTGCAGCCTTCAGAGGGGGAGGAATGAGGAAAGGAAGGCTAATGGCCCTGAACGAAAAGGCCACTTAAACTGCAATATCCAACCATCGACCCATTCATAGTTTCGCAGCATGCAGAGCTAAGAAATCCGGATCAGAGTCAAACAAACATGAAGACTTGAGGAAATGGAAGGCTACTATGGCTCCATCCACAAAGATGGAGTAAATGCAGGCAACAGGGTAGGCTCTATTCAACATCTGCGCCAAGGGGACCAATGGAAGAGGGAGACAGGGCGGGCTAGGGGACTCAGACTAAGCTCGAATTTAGGACTGGGGAAGGAGTGACAGGGAAAAGCACTGGCTCCCCCCTCCCTTACATACGAGCCAACTATCCAAGTAAATGAAGATTAGATAGGACGACAAAATTGGAAGGGGCAGAGGAGGAGGAGTACGCAGACACTACTGCTTGACCCCTAAGCCTTAGCTTTAAAACCGGGAGAGTTGGCGAAGATGACCCCACCTCGAGAAAAACCGCGGTATTCATCGGAGTCGTCTGAGGTGCTGAGAACCGAGGCTGGCCGACAGAAAAGGTAGGGGGAAAGGACCAGTCGTTGTTGGTTGCTTCCCTCTTTCCCACCGTTCAATTTAACCACCAACCCCACTCCCCAGCGAACTCGACTCCCCTCCCACCCTTCCCAATCCGCCCACTGCGGCGGCAACAACGGAGGCGTTGACCGATCGGTGGGGCAAAGGCGGGCCCACACGCGGCCGAGGCCCGGGAAATGGTGTCGCCTCAACGGACTAGAAACGAGGTGGTTTTCACCTCAGGTCTGGTTTACCGGCACCCCAGCGTTTCGCCAATCGTCAGCTGCTTAACGCCAGGTACCTTAGAGGCGTCATAAAGGCGGATAGTCAACACCTCAGTGCTGGGTCCTGGCCGGACAGACATCAGCCTCCGCCGCCATCTTAACACCAGGCGGACCGACCCTAGTCACTGGTCCCCCCCCCCCCCCCGCCCAAGCTACCTCCGCCACCGCCAACGAATCCCACGAGGACGTAACCCCGCTCCCGCGAGAATTCTCCAGCTTAGAACGGCACGAGCCGAAGACCTTGCCGCCTCCGCCGCTACTGCAGTCAGTAGTCGAGGCACCGCCGCCTCCACGCGATCCCGCGAGAACCTCTACCGGACGGGAAAAGCCTGAGCCCAGCCCTTTCCAGACCCCTCCTCCCTCCCACCAAAGCCGAAGTACCTTTACCCTACGCGAAGCGAAAAGCAAATGACGCACAATCTAACGAAGGAGCGAGGGGCGGAGCGACTGTACCATGGCCGGCTCCCGCATGCGCTGAGAACTATCGCGATATTACGCTTTAGCTTCGGCGAGACCTTGTTAATTCACCGCAGGATGCCGCCCGCGCCTCGCCTTTAGGAAACATGAGATATCGCGAGAGCCGGTGCACGCTCCTAAAAAGGAGAAAGGCGGGGCTTCATGAAAATGACTGGGAGTTTTTCGGGGGAAGGGAGGAACCTCCCGTCCTGCAGGGATCTAGCCTACCACGAGGTTTCCGACCCACTGCGGAGCTGGTTGCCAAACCTCGCGATGACACAGCTCAGCGCCAAATCTCGGCCATGTCCTGAAAACTGCCTCCGCCCCCGATCTAGGTGTCTAGAGCCTAGTGCTTGAAGAAAATTTAAAAAGTCAACCTGTTTATTCTCACGCTTCCGGGCAGGGCTGTACCAATTAGGCAAACTCTGTTCTGGAAGGGGAGCAAAGAGTCCCCCATTGTTACCTGCCTCCAGGAATAACATACTATCCTGGACTAACATTTAAAAGACGTTCAATCTCACAATAAGCACACAAATGCAAATGCAAACAATGACATAACATTTTTTGCCCATTAGATAAGAAAAAAAATTTTTAAACCTATATTATCCAGACTCCTTCCCTCGCCGCACTGCAGGCTAACCTGAATCCATCTTAATCTAACTAAAGGCCACATCATTAGTTCTAGTTCCAAAGCCACCAATTTTAACTACTGAAGCTTTACCTTGGCATAACTAAAAAGATCCAATAAAGTGGTTTTCTCCAAACAAAGGAGTCTGCCCTCAAAGGAAAATTCAAGCTTCGGGGATGGGGGGAAAATGCCTGAAGCTTTTAATATGGCAGTTTTTCCACGTCTAGCCAACAATGTTTCTCCAATAAATCTTGGGATCCAATCTGGCTCGATTTGTGGGCTTTTCCATTCTAACGCATTGTTCTGTCCATTCTAATTTAAATAGTTCCTTTAGAGTACATTTTAATAGCCAGTAGTACAAATACCCCTATTTTTACTTACGTTTTAAAATGTTTTTTTTCAGTTATTCTTAGCCATTTTTTTCCTGGATGAACTTTAGAATCATTAAGTTCCAAAAAACTTGGTATATTTATTGAAATTGTATCAACTGTGTAAACCAATATAGGAAAAATGGACATCACTACAATATTTAGCCTTCTTATTCAGAAGCATAGTATTCCTTCTCCTTTTATGCAGACGTTCTTTTATTGTATTCGTCAATAAAGTTTTATAGTTTACTTCCAGATATTTTTATTCGTTTCTCTTGCTATTGCGAACAGGTTTTTTTAATTATTAAAATTTCAAAATGCTTATTGCTTATAGATAGGAAAACTGCCTATCTATTGATAATTTGCCTATTTACTTTTGTAATCGGACAAACAAAAATATGATCAATTTCACCAGTAATCAGGGAAATGCAAATGAAAACAATGACATACGATTTTTTGCTTTTTAAATTGGCTAAAATTACAAAGATTGATAATACGTGTTGGCGCAACTGGAAAAATAGGCACTCTCGCACAACATTGAAGAGTAAATTAGTACAGGCTTTTTCGAAGGCAATTTGGACAAAGCTATCAAAATTCAAAATGCATATACACCTTGACCAAGCAATTACTCTTCTAAGAATTTGTCCTACAGAAATACTCATACATGTGCATGATACATATACACAAATCCATTCATTATGGCATGGCTTGCAATAGTCACCTCCCTCCCCCAACAGAGAAACAAGCTAATGTATATCAATCGGGAAATGGTTAAATAAACTGTAGTACAATCATACAATGCAGCTGTTTAAAACCCGACATAAATTTGGATTCCCGGATATAAGAAGATCTACAAGACATATTCTTAGATTTTTAAACAAGCAATTAGTCGAAATGAATGTGTGTACGAGTGTGTGTGTAGTACCATTTAGATACCAAAACATATACATGCAACGCCTAGTAGTTACCCGCGAAGCCTGCCCGCCCGCCCCTCACCTTCCCTCTCCTCTGAGGCCGCCTTCCTCGAACCAGTGAGAAACGGTGAAGGCCCGGCCTCTACTCCCTCTTTAGGGCCACTGGGCCATGGCTAATGCCGGTACCTCGCATCCCCTCTGTCGGCCGCTCTCTCGCCGCGCCGCCGGCCGCTGCCGGGCTGCCCCAGAAGATGCGGCTAGCTCTCCACTGGCGCCAGCCGAGGTCTGGGGGAGGGGAGAGGAGGCGGGGTTCAGGGAGGGTTGGGGCAGGCCGCCCAGCCCCTCTAGCTGCCTTTCCCGCAGGCTCCCCAAGGCCGCCACCTCCGCGCCTCCGCGCAGGGTCCCGTGGGAACTCCCCCCCACCGCCACTGTCCCCCGCGAGAAGCCGAGGACGGCCGCGCTAACACAGCTCCGCCCGCCCCAGCCCAGGGATAGACGCTCACCTCGGCCGCAATCGCTCCGCGGGGCCCGCAGGAGCGTGCGGGGTCCGCGGACCTGCTTCAGCCCTATTCCAGACTTGCTCCCCTCGCTCGCCCTCAGTCGAAAACCTCCCGGCTCCGGCTCAGCTCAAACTCGATTTGGAGCTCCACCCACCGCACGCGAAGTCCCGCCCCTGAGCCTCGGGAGGGCCCTCCCTCCGCGGTGAAATCGGGTCCCTTGCAAGGGACCGCGCCTGAGCTACCCAAGGCCCAGTAAACGTAACCATAGGCGATGTCGCTAAGAATTGGGATTTGATTCGAGGCTCGGTGGAAGCCTCGGAAGGGAACATGATTTGATCTGATTTACCTTTAAAAATTAACGACCTCGCTAGATGCCTTGTGAAGAATGGGGAGGTGTGGGGCAAGAGGGCAAGCCCGGAGCGGGAGCGAAGGGTGGGAGACGACGTGGGATGCGGACCACCCAGAGTAGACGCAAGCAAACACTTAAAACACTTCAGGCGCATAGTAAGCCCTCAATAAACATTCTTTTTCTCCTTTAATTATTTGGAACGGCAGGGCAAATTGACAAGAATCCTGTAGAGGTTCTGCATCTGTAAATGCATGGGAATAAAAAGGACCTGGTAGGAGATTCCCTGTTAACCCTACTTAATTAATGTGGTCTGCAGACGACATTGGAGGGGCAGGGGACTTTGACTTGGAACTCCAGCTACTTCGATAAGGTTTTGATTTTTAACAAAAAGTATGTATGTACTTAGTATTTAAAGACAAAAGCACTATTAAAAGAACTCCTGAGATATCGAGGAAATAAAAACTGTAATTATACCCTCCACTTCTCTGATTCCAGCCCTCCGGAGCAGTGGTTCATGCTCAAATTGAGAATCTGCTAAATGGATCCCCCACCTCAATATATACTTACACGTAAAATTTTGTATATGATCTCAGAAGATGTACAGGGCCCTTTTGAGACACATTAAATATTTTTACAGTTTTTTTTTTTTTTTTTTTT